TAACTCTTGGATCAACTGCCTTCCTCATCTTGCTTGTTGTGTCCGGCTATCTTTCTTTCTTCGAAGTGTCCTCATGTGTGCAGGCGTGATAGCTCGACTGACGCATGGCAACAGTGCTGCCGCTCCCTCAGCCACCTCCTTTAGTAACCCTAGAGTAGTCCCTTAGAGTAGTCCCCTATATAATAGTCCCCTGTATAACACCCTTTGAAAAGTTTTAACTGCAGCTCATATGTAGAAGCTCTTGCCCCTGTGGTCTAAGACGGATCTCGTTTTAAGGGATCAGGTCCTTTTCTGATATCAACTCTGAGGCTGAATATGAGGTCCGAACAGGTCTTGAGCCGGAAGCTAGTGATTGGGTGGACCCTCCACTCTGTAATAGTGGTATAGTAGGAATATAAGAGGACCCTCATACAATTACCCTTATCCCTTCCAGTCGTCATTACCCCTGAACCCTCAATCCTGAACCCTAAAACCTTAAACCTTAATCTTATATCATCCCTTACAGTCACTATTACTGGGTGGGGGGTCCACCTAACCTATGACATTGTCTGCCATTGCGGTATAGGGAAGGATCCTTTGCCTCTGTGGCACCCTATATATATCTTGGGTATATGCCCCGTTACAGGAGTTTCCATTTTTTCCATTATCCCCACAAAATGTTTCGATTGCTCCTATACATAGACCCTAGTGTCATATGGTAGTTGGCATTTGCTTTTCCATCATCCCTCTATAATCCCTATATATGCATTTATATATATACACACCATTTTATGAGACAGTAGTTTCCCTTTTCTTTTCATTATCCCAGTATGACCCCTATATAACGCATGTATCTATATATACACCTTTTTATGGTGCATCAGTTTCCATTTTCTTTTGCACTATCCCTGGATAATGCCTATATACACCCTATTCATCGGTTCTTCCATGGGACAGGGCAGCAGGCCTTGGTGTCCTTTCCGGGACGGTTGAGGGTTTAGGGTTTAGGATCTAAGGTTTAGGGTTTAGGCTGCAGCCTCTCTGAAAAGATGTATGTTACATTGGGATTATATACAGGTGATGATGGAAAAGAAAATGGAAACTACTGTATGACAAAAGGGTCTTTAGAGGGGTTTAGGGATATTGGAAAAGAAGATGGAATCTACTGTAGTATAATAGGGTACATGTAGGGTTTTTAGGGATAATCTAGCGGTTCCTGATCATTGCTGCTTGTGATGCACTCCCATTCGTTGCTGCCCGCTGCTTGCACTGGCTTTCGTTCCCCCTACTCACAACCCGTATATTATATGTATATATACACCCCTTTAAACTATAGTAGTTTCCATGTTCTTTTCCATTATCCCTCTATCATCTCTATATAGTGCATGTATATAAACTCCTGTATAATACGGTAGTTTCCATTTCCTTTTCGATTATTTCCTATACAACCCTGTATATCGGTTGGCAAAGTGGTCTTCTGTGTTTACACAGGGTCCGCGTTCATCAAAACTTCTGACGACTTCTGACGAACCAGTACTGAGGCATGCTGTGTTGGAGCAGATAAGGAGACCACCAGCCCAAATAAAAAGTTTACGTGGGACGGCTACCTCAAGCAGGGCTTTCATAGGAAGCCATTTCATATCAGCCTGTGTTAGAGGAAGCTGCTTCCCATCAATGGCCCTGTTTACATTGAAGCTCCTGAGGCAATCAGATATGCCAGATATGCTTAAATGCAGCAGTTTCAGCAACCATCAGCTGCAAGTGCACAGCCCAGGTGTTGTTGTCGGCTGCTTGCCTGCAGCTAGTCGGTCCTATGCCCTAGGCCCAAAACTTTGAGCTCTCAACCCAAAGCCCCGAACCCTGAGCCTTAAGCCTGAACCCTCAACCCAGAGTCCTAAACTTCTAACTGTAAGCCCTTAAGCTTAAACCTTCTCTATTTAAACTTTAATAGGGCCGTGGTCCCATTTTGTTGCTTAAGGGTTTTGAGTTTGGGGTTTTGGATTTTGGGTTTTGGGTGTTTGGATTCTGGGCTTTGGATTTTCTAGCTTCCAGCTCTAGCTAATCGTGAACCCTAAGCCCTAAACCCAACATCGTCTTGCAACATGCAAGCTTTTATCGCGAGGCTGTCAAGGTCATCATGAAGTTCATGGACCGTCTGTCCAGCAATGACCTGGTGCCTTGGCGTGTGGGGTATATGAGCCATCTATCGTCTAAACTCCTTAAACGGGGTTATATAGGGGATGATAAAATATGGGCTTTAAGGATTAGGGTTTAGGGTTTGGGGTCTGAACTCCTTATAAGAGGTTATATAGGGGATACTACAAGGGATTATTGTTGGGTTTTTAAGGGGGATACTAGGAGTCCAGACTTTAGCTTGTATGGAGGTTAAATAGCGGCTATATAGGGATGATGGAAAAGAAAATGGAAACTACTGTGTAATGCTAGCATATGAAACGGGTTATAGGGATTCTACAGGAATAAAAGACAAAGACAGGGGAAATACCATTTGAGGGTTTAGGGTGCAGGGTTGACCACAGCCATGTTAGCAAGCGCCATAGAATCATAGAAGCTTGAGAATACTGACTGTCCCTTTGTTCTGCTAACTGGGCTTGTTTGCTGCTGCAATAATATGCTGGCCATGCAGGCGCAAAGCAGTACGCATTTGCTGATGCCAGAGGTAATATACCACGCCTATATATACATATATAGATATGTATATATACACCCTGTTATAATACACTAATGCCCATCGTATTTTCCATTATGTCATGACAACCTTGAGGTGCGGACACTCTGCAAGCGGATGACGGCGCCATTGGTGACAATGCTTTCTGCCGAGCCAGAAATTCAATATGTTACCTGGCTTTGGTTTGTTTGTTGTCAGCGAATGGCCTTTGTTTGTTGTGAAAGGATTGTTTTGGAACTTTTCTGCCTGCTGTCCAAGGTTGTCATGCGCAATATCAATCTCATTGCGCAAAAGCAGCCCAACATACTGCAAACGGACGTGCGCATGTTCGTTTGCAAGTATAACGACCCTCTCTATGTGAAGCTCGAGAAGATCGCTGTTATGGTGCTGACCCAAGCAAGGGTGTAGAAGTATTCTTGGGAAAATTAACTGTTCAAAACCGACGGTTATAGGTGCAGCTTGCCTCTGACCGCAACATCGACTCCGTCTTGTCCGAGTTCGTGGAGTACGCATCAGAGGTTCGCGTCGGAGTTTCCGTTTCCAAAGAAGGGCCCGGAAGTTTTGTGAGCTCAGGTAGCAGAAGGCTTGAAACGAAGATCTTGAAGGGGACGCCCCCGTCCAACGGCTCACTTTCCCGCCCTCAGCACCTTGCTGGTCGCTAGCAGGGAATGGAGAAATGGATCCCCATAGTAGTCCGTCCTCACATTGCCTACATACTCCCCAATAATGTTGTAGTTGCCATTTTTCCATTCCCCTAGATCATCCCTATTTAGCTCTAGTTTGACATCATTTTCCGTTTTTCTTTTCCAATGTGATTCTCCACTATGGGGCTTAATGTCCCTGAGCTTTGAACCCTAGGTGATGTAGGGATTGTATAGGTTTAGATAGGATATTACTCCAATAATGGAATATTATAGGTACTTAGGGTTTCAGGTTTAGGGTTGATTGTACTTGTAGCTTTGATTTTCTTCTCACGTACTTGGCCAGGTGGACATTGAAGTCGTCCGCCAATCCGTGCGTGCGATCGGGCAGGCGCGGGGGCTGCTTGCTATGAGAAGGATTATTTCAGGTACTATTATTATTGCCATTACTTTTACTGTGATTATATTACTAAAGCAATTACTTTCACAAGTGCTATTACTCTTACGGTTATTCTTAGTTTCAATACAAAGCACGAAGGCATGCTGGAACAACAACAAAGTCCTCTGCAAGAGCTGTAGATGCCAACACGGAATTCGAGGGACCTGTTCGCAATTCATGCCGTGAAGGCCTGGGAATCACCTATACTCCATCTAGTCACTAGGATCATACGGAGCACCATGAGAGCCTCGGATCATCTCAGATCGTAAATGATGCCGCCTTAACTGCAAACTTATTGAACCCCTGCTTCACCCTGGTTTCCATTTCATTCTTGTCTTTTCCATTTGATTTTCCATTTTCGGTAGTCACTTTCAGACTACCCAATTGCTCCGACCAGCTTGTTGAGGCGGCGATCAAGCTTGAGCGATCTGCAGAGCAATGCGTCAACTGCTTGCTGGAGCTCATTAAGACCAGGGTTTGGGTCTCAGGGGTCCCATGCCTGCCTAAACCCTAAACCCTAAACCCTAAACCCTAAACCCAAAACCCTAAAAGGTTTAAGCTGCAACTTCAGCTTTGAGCCTCCCAGGTCAACTACGTTGTTCAGGAGGCCATTGTCGTCATTCGCGACATTTTCCGGAAATATCCTGGCCAGTCGCTTGGCCTGCAAGCGATTATTGTCTCCTCCTAGCTGGGCCTGTACAGCATCTCTACGGTCGCAGCATTGTGTCGACTGGTATTGTGGGCGAACCGTTTCAGAGTGGGTTGTGTTTTGCATTGGAGCCCTTTCGATCTAGAAGTGGATATGGGGGCGGATGTTGACGCACCATGCAACTCCAGAGGAGTGCTGAGTAGAGATCATAGCAGGGTCTAATTTGCACAGGAACTCCAAGTTTGCAGCGGTTCCGATAGAGAAGGGAGTGGACACTGGACTATCCACAAGCTGCTCTTCAACCAAGGTACGAGATGATCATCTCGGAACTGTGCCAGAACCTGGACAGCCTTGACGAGCCCGATGCTAAAGCGTCGATGATCTGGATCGTTGGCGAATATGCAGAAAGGCTGGTCAATGGCAGAGCATTCATAAGCTCAGATGCATGTAGGAATCCCACCCCCTGCCTCTGTCAGGATAGACAACAGCGGTGACCTCCTGGAGACTTTCTTGGAGTCCTTTCATGAGGCGGCCACTGGCCACATGCTGGTTGCTCACAGTTGCATCCAGCTGCTTCGCAATAGGAGCCTTCCACGGTGCAGCAGCAAATTCTCACAGCGACCGTCAAGAAGTTCGTGAAGAGTCCGCAGGCGTCTTGAGCCATCCTTGGAAGTGGGACCCTCACTCTGTGGGTGGCTTTGCCTGTCAGGACTCACGTGAGCTTGTTGGGCGTGTGCTGAAGCTGTGCACGGATGAAAGCACCAATCCCGATCTGCGGGACCGCGGCTGGATGTACTGGAGGACGTTCGACTATTTGAAACAAGCTTCCAAATAGCTCGTAGTTGAGAAAACGGAATCATGTGAGCTACTGTCAATATTAGCCTCATTAAGGGACCATCAAGGGTGGACATGGGGCTTCCTCTTGTACTTTGGTATAGCTCCTCTAGTCGCTAATAAGGAACCCATGTCCATTAAATTATTATGTAGGACATATCAATTGATTCTTATATTTCCCTGTAGAACCGTTTCCATTTCATTTCCATTTTCTTTTCCATTTGATTCTCCAATATACGCCAACATTACCCCAATATAACCCGAAATGTTGACTGCAGGTCATATCATCCCTTAAATAACCCTACAAGGGGTTTAGACCCTAAACCTAAAGACTGTAAGTCGTGTCACCCTGTGGAGGATGCTCAGCAATAACCCACAGCTGGCCAAGCAGGTTTCCGACCTTCAAGCTGTTCATCCTTTGAGCCATGATCTAAACTCCTTAAAGGGGGTTATATGAGGGATTCTATAGGAAACCACTACAAAGGGGGTTATATAAGGGATTATGTAGGGGACTACAAAAAGGGTTATTTCGGGGATGCTACAGTAGGAGTTTAGACTGTGGCTCATATCTCTTTGAGCTTTGACCGTTGCAACTCTCTCAGAGCCTGGCTTATAGCCAGCTACTGTTGAAAGTATAATAGTACCAATAGTGATAAGAGTAATCATAGTACTCATATTAAAATAATAATAGTAAACATAGTAATAAGAGTAATAATAGCAATAATGGGGAAATAGTTTAATAGATCATAATCGTGAAGTCCAGCTTCGTCTGTGGTTGTGCGGCCTGGACAGGTTGTCCTCAGCGAGAGGCCGACCATCAGCGAGAATTCCTTTGCGCCATTCTCAGCTGCTTTTGCTTTGAGAAACTTGCTAGCTGTTAAGGAACTTAAACTAAGTTACTATAACAAGGAAGCCTTGTCATTTACTATATACCGTATGTATATACATATACCCATATCATGTTAACTTAATCTAAGTTCCTTGACAGCAACCCAGCACAGGCAGAGTGAAGGTGAATATTATCAGGATCCATGGCTCTATGGGGAAGGGCTCCCTCTTATAATTTGATGAGCGCCCTGACTTGTTGTCAGTGCTGAACCGGGCTGCAGCCATAGGTTCGAGCTACAGTCTAAACTTCCTAAAAGGGGGACATATAGGGAGTGTATGGGGACTCTTATATGGATTATTAAGGAGGTTAGGCTATGGCTCGTTTGAGCGCGCTCTGCAGGCTTTGCAGCCGCGAGTGCTGGACCGCCTCATCGCAAATATCTCCACCCTGGCATCGGTTTACCATCAGGCGATTTAGGGTCTGGGGTTTAGGATTTGGGGTTTAGGGCTTAGGGTGTAGGGTTCATGGTTAAGGGTCCTTGGAAGCTTTTGGGGTCCCTTCAGTGTGTAGTCATAGAATGCAAGGCGACTCGGTACATGCCTTGCAGCACTGACTGAGGTCCCTGAGGCCTTTTGTGACAACAACCGCGGGGCGAGGCAAGTGGAAGAGAACGATGAGTTTGAGGCTTGCCACAGCTGGGTTTAGGGTTGTTTAGGGATAATGTAGGGGGGATATACGGGATGTATAGGGATTATGGAAAAGCAAATGGAAGCTACTAATTTAGGGTTTAGGGTTCTTCCAGCTGCTGCGTCGTGAGTCAGAGTAGTAATCACAGCAACTCATCGTTGCCACTAAAAGCAGAACAGAAGGAGTGGTCGGGATACAGGCATGCTGTTGGCATATGCTTCCAATTGTGAGAATTTCATATATGAGTAACGATAGCAATATTAATACTGATCAAATTAATGTCAAACAATAGCAATAATTTTAAAAATACTCGTAATAAGATAAGAATAGTAAGTAGAAGACTAGGTTGTGACCCAAAACCGAGCTGCCAGTGCTAAATAAGCGGGCGGGACAAGGCCCTCTGCCTAAGGGACACGGTTTTTCCATCCTTGTGCAACTAAGCTCCTGATCTGCAAAGCTTTCTAGGGTTTCAATGTTCAGATATAGTGCAACGCATTGTATACAGCAGCTTCTGGTTTCAAAAGACTTCTAACTCTAAACCCTAGACCCTAAATCCCTAAACTCTAAACCTCTAAAACCCTAAACCCTAAACCCCTAAACCATGCGTGTGAAGGGGCGTTAAAAAAAACAAACCTAAACCCTAAACCCAAAAAAACGGGCAGCCAGGACTATTCCGAGACCATCGAACGCGTTGAGCAGGAGATCCAGCAGACGGGGAGGCTAGAGCTTATCACTATTAGTATTACTTTCCTATTATTAGGAGTAGTATTATTGTTGTTACTATGATTTCTTTTTTTAGCATTTTCCAATTATTACTGTTATCAGTATTATTTCTATTATTCCTGTTATTGCCATTACCCTTTTCACAGAGATATGGGCATTTTGAGTTTGTCGTAGGCTGTGAGGATGGCAGAAGTAACGTGAAATAGATTTTGTTTGCAGATGTTCCCCTAAACCCTAAACACTTAAAACACAAAACAACTAAACTCAAGGCTTAGGCCGCCCACCTACGATGGTGAGCGACGCCTATGCCCCCTGAAACGCTTGGGCAGACCGACCTGGCTGGACCTGCCTCAGCATAGCCACGAGGTCGGTAGCACCTACTGTAGGCCTGGTACCAGAACCTGTTCTCCTTGCAACTAGTACTGGTCGTTTAATAAAATAAATACCCTGAACCCCAAGCTCTTCCCCCGGGGCGTTGCTGGCTGATTTTGCCAGGGGCTGTCTTGGGGTGAGAGGGGGGGGGCAACGGTTCAAAAATTGTTGGGCACCAACTCCTGTCACTCCCGGCCCTGGAAGCAGTCCCAAAACCCTTCCAGTCTTGTGTGAAAGGCAGGCCCTCCCAGAGCCTCTCAGATCCCAGAGCCTCCCAAGCCTCGCTTCCGGCCTCAGGGCCTCCAGGGCCTCCAGGCTCCCAGGGCCTCCCGAGGCCTCTCCCAAGATCTTCCACAAAATTCAGGGTCACGTTGGTTTTTGCAGGACCTTAGTGTCAGGGGCCTCTGGGGCTTCCCAGGCGCCTCTCAGGGCCTCCTTACATGTTCGGAGTTGACAGTGCCATTTGTCCTTCATGACGAACATCCTCAATGGCGACTCTAAGGCCATGGTCAATGTCCAACTTGGCGCGGATGTTGATAAGGTGGAGAACGGGCACGATGGCAATTGTGCCTCCTGTTTACTCCGTTCTTGTGGCTTCCAGGGCCCAAAATAAAAAAAACAAAAGCATAAAAGCACAAATGAAGAGGTGTTGTTGACCAAGATGGACCTAACTGAGTTTAGGTCCTAAACCCTAAAAGAAGTAGGTTTGGGAGGTTTGGCTGCCTCAGACGGCGTGGGGCGGGTGATATTGTTAGATGGCCTTCTACAGTCAGGCCATGGCAGCTGCTCGCATGCAGCCATACACTTGAAGGATCATTAACACCTACTCATCACTGCTTGCACGCTAACTCACAGCAAAACCCTAAACCCTAAACCGCGTTTCCCCAGCCTTTCAGGTACGAGGAGGAGTCTGGCGATGAAGCCAGCGAGGCGAGGTTTTTTTGCTTCCACTCGGTCATCTAAGAGTACGCTGGGTATTATACCGGGTGTGCATTCGTTACTATAGTGTGATTGTTAGATTTGTAAGTAGAAGTAGTATTGCTGTTATGATTACTTTTCCTTTTATTGCTACTGCTAGAACTACCATCAGTACTATTCTTCTTGTTTCTTTTGCTATTATTAGTGTTGTTATTATCAGTAACATGTTTTATTAGTAGTAGTCTTATTAGTATCTGGTTCCATTGCAGGATGACAGCAGTGCGAGCTCGAGCAGTGGCGCCTCTCCTGGAAAGGCAAAGGCCCCTGCTCCGAGCGCGGCCGGGGGTGGCTCAGGCCAGAAGGGTGATGAAATAAATAAATAGATAAATAAATAAAACAAAAAATATATATTTATATTTACATATATAAGAATTACATCATATTACAAACCCCTATTGTTATTGTTATTATTACTGTTAGTGTTATTGTTGTTGATAGCAACCATCAATGTTAGTCTTGATAATCTTATTGTTAACATTATTGTTATGATTATTGTTATTACTATTTGGCCTTGATTGCAGGCCCTCCTCCGCCACTGCGTCCCCTTGCACAAGTTCTCTCGGAGCAGACTCCTGGGGAAGGGGGCAAGCGGGGTCTTCGTGCCGGGCTCCCAGCAGCTTGGTTATCTGAGCCATAGTCTAAGCTCCTAAGGGGGTTTGTATATAGGATTTATACGGGTTATTAAGGGGTATTTATAGGAGTTTAGACCCTAAACCCTAAACCCTACAAAAACATTAAGGGACATAGTGGGAGTTTAGACTATAGCTCATCTTGGCATGTCCACGGCTTTGGCGTGCGAATTGCTGTTTGCAGAGACCCGGTTCAAAGCAAGGGCACATGGCAGATCAAAGCAGGTTTCATGAAAGGTTCCTCATTGTGCCAGCAATGACACAAACAGCTGCAGGGTTTGTGTAGAATTCTATAGGGGAATTCATGGACAGAGCTGGTTCGAAGTTGGAGCTGGCTTGTGGGAGCCAGCAGTCAGCCGGCTCGCGATTATAGTTGGCAAATTGAAGTGACAGGCATCTTCGCAAGTACCAGTACCACCAGCCGCTGCAGCTTCCAAATTTCTGTCAGCACTTGTCCTGGTACTACTGACTTTTCATACAGAGACTTTTCGATTTCTTCATCATAGATACGACTTTTACTCACATGTTTTCCACATGCTAGCAGGCTTGCCATGTCAGATCGACAAGTCTGCTGGCAGATCTTGGGGTTGGGCATCGATGTTGCAGCTGGTGCCACCACAGATTCTGATCAAACGTGCAAATGTTGTAACGGATCGTGCTAGCGACAGGTTCTTTGAGATGGCCTGGTTTGATGCTCTCTCCAGCTCTGACTATGAGTCGAAGACGCAGCCGCAATTATTGTTGCGGAGGACACACAATGCGGATCAAACAAGCCACTGGTTTCTGGAAGTGACTCTGCCTTGGTGTCCTCGCGGCGGTCCTCAGTCCAGGCATTTCCAAAAGCACCGCAGCATGGTGCCGCCACAAGTTTTGTTGCGGCGTGCCAACATCATAACAGACCGAGCAAGTGACCGGCGATTCGAGATCGCCATGTTAGACGTGGGCAGGCAAATGAGTGTGGGTCTGCGGCGGCATTCTATGGCACGTTTGTGCATGGTACCTCCCCAGGTGCAGATGAGACGGGTAAACATAATCACTGACCGGATTAGCGACTCGCAATTCGAATCTCTTTCGGCAAAGCAGCTCGAAGGATGCGAGTTTGGAGACTCCCTGATGCTTCCGCTGGAATCAGAGGACATTTGGGAGCTTCTGGCTCAGCGCAAGCAACGGCCCAGGATTCGTCGAGGTGAAAGACTGATGTCACCACATTTCAAGGTCTGCTTGAGCTGTAGGCCACAGTTGGACAACGTCCGTGCCAGATGGGCGAGCTACGCAGCCTGCCCACATAGAATCCCCCCCTCGAGTTTGCCAATGATGCCGGCAGACGCACCCCCACTTGCTGTTAGCAAAAAGCTGCGTATGACCAACCTGGCTTTGGTGAGGCGAGGAGAGAGGACGAAGAAGAAGAAAGGTCTTGCTCGATGCGTGCATGGGCTTCGAGAACGAGCTTGCGTCAAATGCAAAGGTTGTCCACATGGCAAGCTCAAATCTCGCTGCGGCTTGTGCCGAACCAGTTGCATTCACGGGAAGTACATCAAGCGATGTGGGATTTGTTCGAAATGCCCTCATGGTATTGTGCGCGACATGTGCAAGGAGTGCAGAGGCAGCTGTGAACATGGCGCTTTGCGATTGGCTTGTAGGATATGCTCAGGCTGCCCACATGGGCGACTGAAAGCTGGCTGTCGGCTTTGTCGGCCTTGTCCCCATGGCCGCCTTCGAATCAACTGCTCGCAGTGTAAGAACTGTGGGCATGGCAAGGTCCGAGAACATTGTGCGAAGTGCAATCCTTGCCAGCATGGTGCCATAAAGAACGAGTGCGTGCGATGCAACGGCTGCCCTCATGGTAAGCTGCCTCGGTTTTGCAAATTGTGCAAACCTTGCCCCCATGGCAGGCGTTCCGCACATTGCCCGCAGTGTGCTGGCTGTTCCCACGGGCTGCTGCCCAGCAACTGCAAGCATTGCAGTGGATGTCCACACGGACGTGTCAAACGATTCTGCCGCGAGTGCAACCCCTGTCCGCATGGGAAGCGGAAGCAGGCATGCTTGCAATGTAGCGCCTGTCCCCATGGCAAGATCAAGTCTTCCTGTGCTCAGTGTAAGAGCTGCCCACATGGGAAGGTGCGTCGGTTTTGCAATCAATGCAATGGATGTCCCCACGGAAAGCTACAACGCTTTTGCGCGCACTGTAAGGTTGCAAAGCAGCCAAAGTCGCAGTAAGCGCTGTGGCGGTAATAGTCATGACATTGAAGCGATAATGCATTAGGTCATATCAGAATCAATAGGAAGAACATCAACGGGTTTTGCACAGCGTTTCTGCCAAGGAGCGGATGTACAGACTCGCGTCATCTGTGACCAAAAGTGGCAACGGCTATCCTGAATTGGGGCCTGTGGGCAGACCTCTCACAAGAATGGTATTGAAAGCCGTAAGAAGAGGACAGAGAAATTTTCATTCTGGCGCAGAGATGGTTCCAAACCGACTAGCAATTTCTATGTTGACAACAGGGAAGCACGCACAGCATTTCTCTGTTTCTGGAGATCCTTGAACATCTTGCTCCCTTTTTAAGCCTTGCTGTAGAAGAGGATCCATATCATGAGGACCGTCTCGGAAAATTTGCGTAAAGTTTGGAGAACAAAATCTCTTCCTGTTTCTGCATGCACTATATCGATTAACATGTGTGCCACAACCCTAAACACCCCCTACTCACATCTGCATATAGATGTAGACACAAAACCCTAAACCCTAAA